TCGGATGTCCCACAGGTGCTGGCCACACGTCATGCACCATTCTGGGACCTGCCATCCTCTGCCCACCTTCGCCTCTCCACTCTCCCCGCCTGCCCACTGTACCTGGCTGTTCTGTATATGAGTAGAGGCAGGGGCAGAGGGAGCAAAGTCATCCAGCAGCTCACAGGCTCCAGAGCCCTGGTGACTGCTCGTCTACCCAGTGCTTTGCTCCCGGCGCATCCTGGCCCTGTGCTCAGCCATGCTCGCCACCTTGCCACTGCTGTCTCTGGAAACCCTGTGCAGTGCAACCCCAGGGCCTTTGTGCTTGCAGTGCCCCTTCAAGCACCAAATTCTCACCTCCTTTTGAGCCAGACTCAGCTGCCACCTCCGGGTCCTTTCTGACCTCACCCAGACCTCTTGCCCTGTCTCCTGCTCCTCATTCCGACCCTGTGCTCCCTGGCGACACCCATTACCTTCTCCATGATGTTGTGTGGTCATCAGTCTGGCATGTGGGCTCTGACCTGGCCACCCTGCTCCAACACAGGCCTCAGGACACTTTGGTTCTGGAAATCACCTGATACAGGTTTGCTGAGTGAATGACAAAGTACATTCTGGTTCATTTGTTTGCTGTATTACATTGCATCTTTCTTTCGTGGGCTTTAAAACATCAATGGGTAGAGCATTATATATATAATGTTTGTGTGTTTGCTTTGAGACAGAATCTTATCATGTAGTTCGGGCTGGCCTTAAACTCACTGTGTAGTCCAGGCTGGCTTTGAATTCATGGGGATCCTCTTGCCTCAGCTTCCTGAGTGCTGGGATTATAGGCATGCACTGCCACACCCTGTGTATATTTTCTTAAAATCTTTCCAGTTGCTTCTTTTAGCTTGCTAATGTACTGAGCCGTGTTCTCCAGGCATGCAGCTACCATGAGATAAGAGGTCCCATGTCTGATTGTATGTAAGCACTCAAACCTGAGCTTATGTAGAGTTTGATGATAATTCTGGTGACAGTAAGTCATCCAGATCTTACAGAAAACTAGAGTATATAGGATTCCTAAGGACACTTTAAATCCCATCCAGGAACCCAAGAACTCCCCAGAAAACTTCCAAATATAATATTCCTCCTATTCTAGAAAAATGTTAGTATATATTTGGAACTTGAAATTATTTTTATAGAGGCTTGTGAAAATATCCTAAAATGAATCCTCATTAAGGCACGTGAGCCAATATCCTTCCCTCCTGAAGCACAACTTCAGTGTCTCAGAGGCAATGCAAACCACAAGGCTCAGAGCTTGCCGGGACCCATTTTGTAGCAACCCCTCCTGAGAGCTGGGGTCTGGCAGTTTGTAGTCTTCACTGCCTTTTGGTGAATCCAGTTAAAGGTTTTCATTTGTTTGATGGCCCTGTGCAGCCCAGCCCTGCAGAGGGCTTTGCCATGTGCAGTGTGGTGTGGGTCACCCCTCAGGTCCTGACAGCCTGGATTCCAAAATGCCCCCCACCGGCTGATTTGGTTGGGCCGTGAAGGCCTCGGTGCCTACCGTGCTAACACAGGGCCAATGCCAGTACCCCGTCTGACTCATGGTTCTGTCGCTGCTATCACTGTTTCCCCTCCAGCTTCGCCAACTTGGGCATCCTCCATGTGACAAAGAAGAAGGTATTTGAGACCCTCGAGGCACGGATGACGGATGCATGCATTAGGGGCTATAACCCTGGGCTCCTGGTGCACCCCGACCTCGCCTACCTACAAGCTGAGGGGGGTGGAAGCGACCGGCAGCTCACTGGTGAGTGTCACGCCTGGCCTCTGTCCTCTTGCACTCCTGCCAGAGCCTTGAGGGTACCTACCTCACGTGCTAGGCCTTCC